GGCTCTCGTGTTAACTAAAAAGTGGGAAATAAGCACATTAAAAACAATTATATGCTACTTCAGCATTAAGTATGTACAAAGGTTAATAAATAATTACCTACTATAAGGTGCTATGTGCTAGTGTTTGGGTGGCACTTAGACGTACAAAATAGTCTAAGAGAGGCTTTATATGTGTTTAATGATTAGATATACTGTTAATAGAGAATTAAAGTCCTGGAGGCTTTATGCTTATCTTTTACTATGTTAATAAGAACATAGATGCACGAGCAGTTTTAATATAGAAATAGTGAAGATTTGTCTCTTATTCTACCGCTGAAGGTGTTGTGGCTTTAGTGCTTATTTCCCGCTTTCTTGTTAACATGAGAGCGAGGCTGACGCTGAGCGTCTCTGACGCGCTAGAAATTGCAGTGCAGTTCAGGCCAAGCTCCGCCTTACTGAAGGATAGACCTTTGTCAGTTCGTAAACGGTATTGAAGGAGGTGTGGCAGTAGCTAGTAATTTCCATCTGAGCCACTTTGCGGTGCTTGCTAAGCAATGTGATACTGCTTACTAGGTCGATTTATATCTAATTAATGTTAAGTGAGATCGAGAAGGAGGGTTTTGAGTTGCTACATCGAAGACGGTCCAAGCTATTCCATGTATACTGGTCTTTTCAACATATGCAAGCAGATCTGGCGGAGTGTAGAAATCTTCTTCGGAACTGAGTGTAAAGGAGAGTCATGGTTTCTTCAACAGCAGAGAGGGGAGGCTCACTAAAAGAAAATGGATAACAAATACACCAGCTTATGGCTAAAGATTGATTTCGGCTATGGATTGTTCACGCAAGAACATGAGTGCAAAGCAGGCATGCGAGAAATTGTCGCATACATGCTGGAGCATTGTGCGTGTGTTCTATTTTCATCATACATGTCTAGTAGATTTCCAAGTACTCAATGTATTCCTCAACAAGGATTCAGAACACTGGGGCATCATACATCACAAGCAAACTCGCAAAATAGGCACACAGAGTATTCAATATGCAATCGATTCAACTAGGAAAAGATAGTACAGTAATGTCACAACTCAGCCGGCTCCGGCGATGCAAACGCCTATGTATACATAATCCCAACCAAAAGATTATCCCCTCGTACAATGTACATTGTGTATTGATACATGATTTCATATGCCCTTGTGGCTATCCAGTAGAGAGCGACATCGTTATCTAGGCAGGAGCAGTGGGGTTGACATCGGAGCAGATGAGGGCCTGGCCGAGGATGGGGAGCAAGCAGCACTTAGCCTGCTGGCCCTCGGCGGCGCAGGTATCGATGAAGCCGTTGATGGTGGTGGGGGTGACTGGCGCTGCGGAGACAGTTAGTTCATGTTGTGCTTTGAGGTAAGGAAGGAGGGAAAGGCTTACGAGGAGCGCAGTCCAAGTTGGCGAGGTTCAGGACATCAGTTGCGCAGCAGACGGGGGTGCCGGAGCTGCAGAGGCCGGCCTGGCGCTCTTCGAGGGGAGCGGCCATGGCGGCGACGGCGAAAGCGAGAATGGTGGTGAAGAGCATGTTGATTGTTTGGTTTGGTGGTTTGTCTAAAAGACTTGAATGGATTGTGTGAATGAAGATTGAGTGATGGTGTGATGAGATGCTCAATTGTCGACATGTTGCTGCCCTCTTTATACTTTTCTGAGCAGTCTGTTCAGGGGCTTAGTCCAATGACTCCATTCTATCCTATTCCAAAGGTAGCATTGCGTTCGTCATGGACCAGCGGGTCCCCAACAGCAAGATCGTCATCACTGTCGATGGAAACAACGAGGACGCTTGGCCTCTACCTGGTCGACCTGATGGTCAGGGGCCTTTCCAGCTGGAATTACCCCAGGGCTACTCCGTCCCTGGTAGGAGGTGACGTCGATCCGAATATTTCAGCTTCAATGCACGACTTTACTAAATCTAAGTGGCTGTAAAGTAGTATTGGGGGTACAATTAGGCTTGCTGATCTTGAAACGTGCACGCGTGGAGTAGCCGTAGTGTAGAAAACGGTCAAGCATCGTTTGTCGATCCATATCGGGGGATTAACTGTTCAGGGTAGTGATGTGATGTAATGGGCGACGAACCGGGCGGCCGAGAGTCAACAGAGTTGGCGCGTATACTCGCCACAGGGCACGGATGACATGCACCCTGCATCTACGATTCTTCCGTAGAGCCGCGCAGAGATGTCTTCTGAACAATCATGGAAGTACATGGACGGATCGAGCCTGAAAAGGGCAAGCCCGTGACGTCGAATGGTTGAATTCTGGAGAAGCGAGGTCTTGTTTCGCAGAGCTCGCATGAGTGTTCATCTCCGAGACGTCAGTGCCAGTTTCTAGGCTTACAGAATGCCTGGAGACCGTTCAGTTTACAGTGGATCGAACCATGGTAGCGGCACCTTGGGCGACTCTGTGGGTCAATCTGTTAGGCCAATCATCGCAATACACAGGTATACAGCCACCTCATAATCCGGGGTTGGGGCTGTGAAGGCGAACATCTAGGGCCACTCAAGCACAGCTGCCACATTGAAGCTGTTCTTTCTTTAGCATATCTTGAAGATCTCTGAGATGCAAGCATCTCCTCAACACCCTGTGGCGATGATGTGTCACCCCAGCCGTCGAAAATGTGGGTGGTGGTGATAGGGGTGACGATCACACAGGTAGGAAACGTGGAGCAAGGGTGAGAGCAAGGCACTGAAGTGGTCGGAGCTTCCCATTCGCTTTGCAAAGAAAAGTGGGACGTTTAACAGACTCCAAAGCGTTCGCCTAGTGGATGCTATAGAACATGGGTTCGATATATAGGTACTTTGTTGTGCACGATACTTTGCCTGCAACTGAACGTCAGCATCACTCAACAAGAACGAAGCACAAATGAGCTATAGTTCAGACTCAATTGCGCCTCGCCTATCTAGACAATTCTCACATTCACTCCACTATACTCCGTTCTTTTGGCGGTTGGCTTGTTCCGATGGCGTTGTTGTGGTGGATGGGACGGGACGTTGCAGCCCTGTAGGCCGTTGCGCCACAAATCGCCCCACAGGCCGCTTGCCCTGTTTAATCGCCTCGCTTGCCCCGATCGACGTCACAGCGAGGCTCTGTTCCTGGCAAAAGAGCAAGCCGTCGCGAGCGATTTACATCATTCTGCCAGATGCGACCAATTGCCCTACTACTTTAATCTATTCGAGGCTTATACTCTGCTTACAAGCGAGCTACTTTTTCCATGCGATATCCTACCCGAGATGGGCATCCTGGCCGGGCCGACCGTCAACTTGCCTGAGAAACATGGCATTCTGGGTTTGCCACAGACAACACGGCCAGAGGATGATGGCAAAGACAGTGTTGAACCAACTTGATTGAGCTGACACCGATGCTAGTGACATCAACCGGAGTGGTATAAGCCACTCGATATGCTCAGCCCTCACATGCGAGAACACTAGATCATAAAGTGCGAACAGCATTGACATTACTCAAACATTATCATTGGTATCGAGCTCCGAAATAGAAGTACGTGGAAATCAAACGCCTGCAATGCAACGCCCATCCCAATGCAACCCATGCTATGCAACGCCTTTTGAAACACTTTTGGTATCTGCACTCAATGCACGCCTAGTTAGGACAAGATCAGAAGACCTTGTTTACTACCTTCCTCCATGCGGAGGGCGAGCTTTCTTCCCAGGTCTCGGACACCTCATCCTCAAACCTGCCTGTGGTGATATCGGCTTCGGCGGGGTTGACAAACTTGCTCTTCGTCACAAGCTTGTGGCCGACGTAAAGAACAACAAAGAGGATCAAGCTGACGTACGCAATGAAGAAATCCTCGGTGTTCCAGGGGACAAATGCGGTGAACCCCTGAGTGATGGTGATGATGGCGCAGAAGCCAAGGCCATAGATCGCAAGGTAACGGCCTCCCCAGCTCTTGTAAGGCAGAGTGTCACGATCGATGTTCTGTGCCTTGAGAGCTCGCATAAAGCCCAAGTGACAGATGCAGATGCAGGACCAAGCAATGAACCCAGCAACGGAAATGATATTGAGAAGCCAGTTGAACGCTTCCTCGCCGTTCGAAGACAAGTTCATAAAGGCCAGAAGGCCCATAGCGGCAGTGACTGCGGTCGCCCAGTATGGAACACCACGCTTGGAGGTTTTCATGAGCAGAGCTGGGGCGCATTGCTTCTCAGCGAGACCAACAAGGATACGGCTACCAGAGTAGACGTTCGAGCTGGCGGCGGAAAGAACGACGGTAAGGAGGATGGCGTTGACAATATCAGGAAGAGCGCTGATACCTGCAAGCTGAATAGCGATGACCAAAGGACTCGATCCAGCGTTGGT